CAGCACTGCTTTTAAATTTCACTGTTTTCCAGAATCTGGAAAACGTCTTAAAATAATGGTTTTTTCACTCAAATGTTGCCTTTCTATGAATAATGTCTTATTCTCTTCTAATTAGGAAGAGATGAAWTTTTTTTTTGCCTTTYCCTGCCCCCACCTTTTTCTAAACAAACTAWAATAATAAACCACATAATAGTTTTAGGATCATAGCTGTAACTGCCATTTCCCTTCATTTCCATAGGTCTACAAAATAAAGAAATCCCCATTAGTGACCAGAAGCACAGAAAAAAGCATGAAAAGCCTGAAATCAGAACTTAGTATCTGACACTTGCTGCACAAGCAGTATTATGTTTATTGTGTTCAAAATTGCTATTTAGACATCTTTCCTAGTTACCTTTTTTATATGTAATATAGCCAAAATCCATCACAGTGAATGTTTTTTTCACCTGCTGTGTCACTCCTTCAGAGATCAATCAAGCAACACAGACTCCCCATACATAAGCTGCTGCTGTTGATGCCTTTTTAGAGGAGTTTTCATGACTGTGTACACTTATATATTAACAAGTTCTGTAGGTTGTCCATAAGCGGAGCATACTGTTCATTTTTGGTCTCAGTAATCTGTAATTTGGCTGTAATGTTACAATGAGGCAGAATTTTAGGTTTGATAATGTGGAAAAGCCAACAGAAGGCTATTTCAACATTTAAATTACACTGTTCACCAGCAGCTGGATTTACAGAGCCATTTGCTTCATTTATACAGCAGCTTTCTTAGTGWTAGAATAATGCTGCATGTTTTCTAAACATTTCTTCATACTACTGAGTTCTTTTAAGTTCTGTAGAAGCACATATTTTTCCTTACTATTCAGCTATCATCTATGTCAATGCATAGAAGCACATGAACATGTAGGCATCCGTACCATCTTGAAAAAAGATTTGTGCATATTAACAAGCTAGTTTCCACTCTACCTGCCTGAAGTTGCAAACCATCTAAAACTTCACAGCTCTGTGAATCAAAGGGGAAAAGAAAGCCTCATGCAGATAAATGTACAAAGCAGTGGCAGGCAGTTAGAGCAGCACTTTCAAGTAACTTGCTGGCTGCCTTGGGAAATTAAAACCAAGCTAAAGGCACTCACTCGTTAACTGTTGTAAATACTTGAAGACTCTCTTTACTAAGCAGAACCCACTTAAATGATTACTGGAAGTTAAATYGTACCATGGAAAGACAGTTTGCAGAAGCATAGTTAAGATTTTGAATACAGCACTATCCCACACAGTAAAAACATGCAAATAGTTACTAAATGCTAAAATGGCTTGCAAAGCTTTTCATGGGCAAAATGAGTATGTACTCATTTATGAAATGGAATGAAATGTTATGAAATGAAAGGCATTTATATACCCACATGACATAACTTTCAGATCTTGAAGACAATAGCTGAAGTTAAACCTGCAAGTTGAGTCACCATGACAGCTCTAGTGGCAGATGGCCACAATGATTGGCTGCCACTGATTGTGACTTTTGGCAATCTCCAGCACTTCAGAACAGACTGCTGCTAAGGGGAATGATTGACATGTCTGTACAGCCCGACCATCAGACAAGCAGCATTTTCAATTAGCTTACAAATAAAGGTTATTTGCTATATGCTGGATTCTGAATTTCTACATTCCAGCTAGTCTTGAGGTGTACCTTATTGAAATCCCTTTTACCCTTGAAAGTGTTTCTGTAAAGATGTTACTGGAAATCCTCACATAAATCACTTCTTGATTTTGACCAACCCTTTTCATTAAACCTTATACAAAAAAAAAATTTAATTACTGCCTATTCAACAAGGATACCAAACTGCCAGAGCCACCTAGTTTTCACACAGGTATTGATAAACTAACACATCTGTCACAATTGTTTTAGAGATAATGGATCACCACACCACTGCTTCAGAGTTAATTGAGATTGGATGCAGAGATTAAGCTCTTGATCATGTGATACATTCACTCTGTCCATGCAGCTGCTTGGCCTTTTGCTGCCTAAATTTTGCTGCCCATTTATAAATCAGAAGTAACCTAAATTCACAAAATCTGGTTTGACTGTGGAAAGGATCATCTTACCTTCCAAGATGCCCAAGTGGCCCTGAGCTGTGTCTCTTGGAAGATACAAATGCAAGAGCTGAGATTGACTGGGCAGTCACCTAAAGTCTCACAAGGAATAAGGCTGGTTCTTTCTGAAGRAAGAACATAGCTATGCACAAAATTGAAAGCAGAATTAACTTTGACAACAGCATCCCTACTTCAAGATTGGAGTTTAARATAGTGTGCAGCCGTGATGAGTTGCTCATCATTCACGTACACAGGGGGCTCTTGTGGTAATGTTACAAGTGCCTGGTTAGCATTGGGAAGTGACACTGTATGAATCACGTTTTACTCTGGAACTTCACACAAGCAGTAAAATCAGAGGGACCTCTCCAAATCCTCAATACAAGAAACAAGAGTGTTGTATCACCTTGTCAGCAAGGCAAAAATGTTAATGAGTGTTGTGGATTAAAATTCTTCTCCTTTTGTTCCCTTTCTTTGGGAATTTTTTCTTTCCCATTTGTTGTTGGGATACATTAATTGCCAGTCATCCTTTTAATGGCTGGGTGATTAACAAAGACAATGATACCTATGGCCCCACCTTAATGGTCTGGCCAAGCGCTTGGAGAGAGTGKTTTTTTTGTGTGGTGGGGGGGGATTTGGAGTTTTTTCACAGCTTCGCTGGGAGAAGGAGGTGTGCTCACTGGCTGCTGCGGAGAGAGCTGGCCTGCCTTTTTTTCTCTGCGGAGACCAGCACCCCTGCTCATTGGGGTTCCTGCTTGCTGCAACGTGGTTTTCTCTCCTGTGCCTTGCCGGGGATCCCAGCTTCAGGGGTGAGCTCTGCTCCATCCCATCTCACAGCCGCGGGATTCCTGCTCGTCTCTTTGCCATCCTGAGTTTCTTGTTGTCCAGAGGAGCACTGAGATCGGTGTTTCCGCTGTGAGTTTTGCAGAGAAACTTTTCTCCATCYGCCTCTGCCATTTTGCATCCACCATTCTCGACGCGGGAGATCTGAGCCAGCCGGGACCCGCGCCACCTCGTACCCTGCAGCCGCCGGGGAATCATCGCACCCGCCCTGCCCGGCCGGGAGCCAACAACGCCCCTGCCAACGGGACTGTAACTGCACCAAAGGGGAGGGTGTGTCTCTGTAAGGCCGTCGCGGGGTTTGGGACTGGGCTGGTTGTTGCTATTGTTATTGTTTCTTGTTTCACCTTGTTATATATATATATTAGTAAAAACTGTTATTCCCTTTTACCCATATTCTTGCCTGAAAGCCCGTGATTTTTTTAAAGCTATAATAATTCGGAGGGAAGGGGGGTCATATCCACCACTCCAAGGGGGGTCCCTGCCTTCATTAGCAAACATCTGTCTTTCAAACCAAGACATGAGGGAGAGAATCTCCAAGATCTTTGGGAAGTTTGAAATAACTTGTGAAGGATCATACAGCCTAATTACCAAGTGTTTAAAAAAAGGTCAAATCAAAAAGTCAACCACAGGTTCAGGTTAATGTTTTTGAGATTCAACTAGCAACACTCAGGCAAGGGATTATTCAAATTTTTTTTTCTCATTTTTTTGTCATGAAGTAATAAACCTGCCTGGAAGTTTTCATGACCGAAACACATAATTTAATAAGTTGTTACAACACAAATATCCTGCTGGTGTCATAGAGATTTAGCTACTAATAGACACTGGATGCAATGCTGGATTTCACTTAGAAGATTCATTCAGAAAGACTTACCAAAYCAAGATGGGGCCCAGCTCTCCTGTGACAGCTTCTTAAAAACTATGACACAGTTGTAACCTTTTTGTTCCATTTGCCATTTGAGTCACTGAATATGAAATAGGACAGGTCACACAAACAGCAAGCTTCCAATATGATTTTTTGTAGTTAAGTTTTGTTAAGTCTCTGTTTTGTAGTTAAGTGCTGAATGCTCTCAATTCCTAAATCCAGACTGTGGCCAGCTTCTCTCTGCCTTATTGGAAGTATGAGACTGGCCCACAAAAGATGTCTTAATCAGCAGGGACCTGAACCTTTAATTAAGAAGATAAATGTGTTCTGTGAGAGACAGTATATTTGAGGCAAATTAATTTAATGAAAGAGCAAACTCACATTTTACCACTCCCTTTTCCCTGCAACTAAAGAAAGGGAAAAAATGCCCCCACAAAAATTCTACTGATTGCTGCTTCGGAACTCACACCAGCTGTCTATATGATGCCTGATTCCAATACTGAAGAGAGCTGGGAAGCCCATATGTTTATGGGAGACAGCTGAAAGAAGAGGAGATGGGAGAAAGATGAGAAGTAGCAACATGTGAGGCAAATGCTGAAGTTGAAAGAGAGCTGTGTTGTAGAGGACCTTTAAAGCAGTTGCTGCAGCACCATAAAGCAACCCAGCCCAGCAGCTGCATTTGTCATATTGTGGACAGCTGAGCAGTCCCTTTTCTGCAGATTGTCAAAGAATAAGAGAATTATCCCCATCTGCWGTTACTAAAATACACAGACCAACAGCTGGCTGGTTCACAAGATAGGAAAAAACCTCCCACTTTTCTTTTGTTGTTCCTAAAAAAAAGCACAGATTTATATTCACATGACTTAATACACCACTAGAAAGCAGAAAGATATGTGAGTAATCAGTGGCATCCTGCAAGTGCTTCAGATACCTTTATTTCAAGACATCTAAGGTAACCAAGTAAGCACTGACAGAATCTGCAGCTACAGGACATGAACAGGATCCAGTTTGTCACTTTTCTGTATGCTGATTGTCAGAGTAGGCTGTCTTTACACAAACCAGAGCTAGCTGATTTTTTTTTTAAAAAAAAAAAAAAAAAGCAGTGCGAATTTTTCCAAACAACAAAGATCTCCAAAGATTAAAATCTTAATTCCAGAAGACTTAAAAATATATATATTCTGACAGCATTTCAGTTAAACGACAGACTAGGAACTACAAATTGGTCACATTTTAATAAAAAAATCATTACTTACAATAACAGGATGATACTAAAAAAAAGTGCACAATGGCCACAGCATACACTGTAAACAGTTGAAAAAGTTATTTAAAAGACAGGCTACTATTGAGTAATGGTGAAACAAAATTTCCTCTTTATAGAAACAGTCCTCAGAAACCATGGACAGCAGCAGCTTTTAGATGCAAGCTTGCATCTTGCATCTTGTAGGAAAGACCCAAGAGTTTAACCAGAATTCTGAGCTTCTCTCTCAGAATGTATTCTCCTCGCTACAAATCCAGTGCCATCCACCCTTGTTCAAAGATAACTGCCTTAGTTTTCAGGGTAAGATATCCATACTGAGTTCTCATCCTCAGAGGTTTACAGAGCCTTGGATGCACAGAGCTTCTCAAAATCATGGATTCTTTTGCCAGGTATTCTCAAACATCGATATTTTACAGTCCAAAGCATCCAAACTACTGTACTGTTGTAAAAGTGTTTATGTTTAAAGTTTCCATGCCAACTTTAAAATTATGCTTACTTACTCAGAAAAACACATCAAATAGACTTCAAGTGCAAAGGGCTCCTTCCACGTCATGGGAGAGGATTACACGCCTAACCCAAAACCCAGCAGTATGTTCAAAACTCAAGGTATCCAGTGGTTTTAACAAAGGTGTCCAGTGGTTTTAACAGCCAGAGCAATGGATTCTACAATGTAGTTCACTGAATTCATCCTGGYGCACATCAGTTTCAGTTGAAAATCCCAGGATCAACATAAGGGTATGCAAGAAACTCCCCCAGTTTATTTCCTTCTGCATCATAATGGAGCATTCGAAAACAAACATCACAGAAGAAACAAGGATCCTCTGGTGCCAGACTGTCTCTGTTGGTCACCCACCTGCAGGTTACAAAACGCAAGTGTTTCTTCGTGAGTGCAACACACTTATTATAAACATCTCAACATTTTAATCAGAGTTGGGGATGACAGCAACAAACATCAGAAGTAATTTCATACAGATTAGATACTACCTATATTGCATATCTCCCAAGCATACACCTCATTTCCAAACTCTACACCCATTTTGTGTCAATCCCAACTGCTACAGCAGCACTTCCTGAGAAACTCCTCAAACCTGTGTAGCAGGTACAGTGAATAAAAAAAAAAAAAAGACAGGAATCTTCTGTCCACCCTGTGGCCATCTAAATCATAAAAGAAAAGTCTCTTTTCCTTTAATGCGAGAAACTGTGTTATAGAGCACACATGTACTGATCCAAGTGCCTCTGAGTAATCAAAACCATTTAGGAGTCTACAAGCAGGACCTGAACGAACCAACAAGACAAGGTGAGGACTGATGCACACTCCAGCAAGCACTTTAACATGAACACAAGTTAACACGTACAAGGAGGGCCTGCCATGTCACTGGGTCATTAATTTATGATAGCACTCCAGAGGCCACGACAGCTGAAGGTCTCTGGTGATTACAGATGCTGTCTGCACAGATTAGAACACACTGGACAGACAGCCAAAGCAGCTCTGCTGTTCATGGTTTAGCATGTCCCCACTTAAGCTTAGTGCTTAATCCCGGTTTTAATTTAATGCATTTACATCACCTCTGGCAATGCCCTCCCCATACCATCCTTTCCCCCATAGTGACCCTTTGGCTCCACCTCCCCTTATGGCCAAATGCCTCACAGATTATAGGCCTTTGTGAAGGCATCCTCAGGGCTCTGCTAGAACACTAGCATGGACTCCCATCTCAAGGGGAATTGGCTCTTTGCCTGATTCCAGGGAAATCTAAGGTCTAAAAGCAAGACAACAAAGACACAGCTGCTGTGTCAAACAGAGGTTTGAGAGAGCATAAGCTGTCCTGGGAGATAAAAAGGGCAACCAGTGTTTTTGCAAATAAAACATTCAGATCTATAAAATAAAGARGCCTAGCCTAGTCTTTAGAAAAATTTCTACTGTTTATTGAAAGTCTGTCTCATATCTAAATTAACATCACTACACTGTATAAAGAGCACCAAACTCCCATTCTGCTCTCTTATCACAGWGTTCCTTGAAGAATAGCTACAGAGCATACAGTTGTCAGCTAGAGGTTAGGAGTTTCCTGCAGGGAAAGTTACATGCCTTTTAAAAATCTCTAGATTCTATTATATTAAAGTTGGACAGAYCTATACCTGCTTAGATGATAGATAAAACAAAATGGTAAATTAATTTGAAACAATGTCTTGCAAAAGGGGAAAATGCAGCATTTTCCCCCAGAAGCAGTATTTTTGAAAGGAACTGATAGGACAGCCAAGCTTAAGTTATGCAAAAGAATATGAGCCAAATAATAACTTCTTAATAATTTTAGCCTCCTGAATCAAYCCCAAATGAACACTTTCTGCAGGAGGCCTTTTCCTGGTGAGAGAGAGATCAAGTGCTTGAAGAGTGAAGATGATGATGATTATTATTTACATAAAGAGCTTTGATTTTTACTGGTTTTTTTTAAAGTTGGTAGCAGCACCTTGAAAGACTTAATTAAGATGACAGTAAGATCAAGAACATAGCATACCTTGCTGTATACATTTTGCACACAAAGCATTTTCTGGTACATAGCCAATGTTTCTTGATTAGCAAGGGATACAGATTCCTGTCCAGACAGTCATCATGATGAATAAGCCTTGAGGGAAATAAATAAATAAATACACAATATACAATAAAGACTTTGCCATATTGACATTTATCTGAACATAAGAATGGACATTGAAGATAAGGTATCATTTAAATTCCCATGTAAACTATGATTAGACTTCAGTGTAACATTTCTTAACACAGATGAAGATCTGTAGGTAGACTGCTCATTGCACCATCTGTGGATTTTATGGTCACAAGTAAATTCAGTTTGTGCAGTAATTCAGAAATCTTCAGACCATCTCCTTTTGGTGATCTTTTCAAAGCTTTTGTCTCCTGTACAGGTTAACAAGCTATTGTCAGGTGAATCTTTGGAGGCTCATAAACCTGAAATCATCTACATGCTACATCTGTGCTCTCCTTTAGGTTGTGTTTCTTTTGGAAACACCATATATTATCAATGCTTTGGTACATCAGGCTCTTGGGAACAGAAAATGACCTGTYACCCACCACAGAAAACCAGAGGAGTGCTCTCTCTAGTTATGCACTGAGCAGAGTGTACACAATATTTCTACTGTTGATGTGATTGCCACCTCGCAGTCATTATCACCTTTTCCTCTTCCTGGCCTATCCACCTCTGCCCATTATTTCCACTCCTCTATTTTCTTTCCTTTCCACTCCTCTATTTCCTGCCCTTTAGCTTAAGTTCAAACTAAATAGTCCAGGTGAATCCAAGACCTACAGCATTCCACTCCCTGATGCTCTAGAATCAGTAGGTAAATCTGCCACACTTTGGCTCTGCATAGAAACATCTTGACACCGTGGTTGCCATTTCTGTCATACAGCAGTCATACCATGCTAATTAGAAAGCAGTTTTTGTATCCAAGGTAAAAAAACAAGGAAGATTACTCTCTTTCTTTCAAAGATAGTCCCGAGGAYATAGAAGAAAAATTTAAGCCCTGCAGAAGGCAGCAGAATAATCTTAAAGTAAATAAGTTAGTCTAACAAACATTCAGCATTAAACATCTGAAGTTTGTCCAGAGAAGGCTTGATTTCATTTTCCTAAGGACTCCCAAAGAATAGTAACTTACCTTATATCTGTGATTATAATGATGTGTTCACAGTCCCCTTGGTGGCAGAAAAGGTATGGAAAGCCAATTTTGAGGGATAAATCATTAAATACATAGTCCTCCATTTTAACAGACTGAAGATTTTCATAGCCTCTGTCATGAGATTCTGACCACTCTATAATTGTTCTGAAAACAGAAAGCCCATCAGCATAGCAAAAATATGAACTGTGAATACACAGAAAAAGATACTTTGGGRGGCATGCAAAACACTTCACTGAGACACAGTTAAATGATGGAAATCAAAACATCAGTATATTCATTCTGTTCTGCTGCAGAACAACAGCATTCAAACTCACAGCTCTTCCATACCAGCCCTTTTAAACATCTTGATCTCATAAATCTCACTAGTGTGTCAGCAAGACCATACTTACTTAAAATCTCAGATTTGTTTTCTGAACAGTCACACAGACCCCATGTTGATTTTACAACAAAGACATTCAGTGTATTTTCAAAACCAAGCAGGACAACCACTGCCACACAGCTGAGTTTGTTGTCTTTCTGACCCATCTTCTACCTCACAGGCAAGGCTTTTGACTGCCATCACAAGTAAGGAGGGCATTTGAAAAGCCAGTACAAACTGGCACCTATCACTTTACACAGAAATCCCACCCCAACAGAGCAAAACAGGATTTGCGGGTTAAAAAACAGATTCATACCCCTTTCAAAAGGGAAGTGAATGGAAGGAATAAGAAGAGTAAGTAAATTTAAACCTCTATATAAAAATCAATTCAACCTGGAGAAACAGTAGGAAAAGTCTATTCCAGCTTCATAGCCTAGACATTCCAGTTTTTGAAACAAGTCATAAACAAAATGAAATAAATTTTATGTTCCTTAAGGTTTTCTTTAGTCAACATCTACAGATAGTGTACCTGCTCAGATCTCTGCACTCTGGGTATCTTTTATCATTATAGAAGATGCCTTCAAAATAGAAGAAGGCAGATTTGTAGAGATCCTGAGAGACAGAAAGAGAGAAGTCTGCATTAGTGTTATGAGTGATTAAACACTTTAGACAAGAATATGCCAAAAATTTAAGCATTTTAGGTATCTAAATTGTATTGAGACCTCATTCTACAGTTGTGTAAGAAAAGTTCTGCTTTGATTGTAGGTGCTAATGTGACAACTAGGCTCATATGATTGCCAAGTACCCAACGGCTCTGCTGATACTGTTTTCAAGCCATTACATGTTACTTTAGTGCTCTTCTATTTCTGTCCCCACCATAGCAGTTATGCACTCCAAAAACACAGAACAAGAACATAAGCATCACTGTACAAATTCAGTAATTGCAAGGCACTGACATTAAAAAAGGCGAATAATATTTTTTTAAAAATAGTAAGATGCAGTGTGTTGCCTTTGGTTCACTACCAGATACCTATCCAGCTGCTCTCTCATTCCCCTTTCCCAATAGGACTGGGGAAACAAAATAAGATAGGCAAGTTCACAGGTTCAGATAAAGGCAATTTGGCAGTTTAATTAGAAAAACCAAAAGCTGCATGCAGAAGCAAAGAAGAAAAAAAGGAGATTTATTCCCTGCTTCCCATCAGCAGGTAATGGTCAGGCACTGGAATAAGCTGCTAAGATAAGTGGTGGAATCCCCATGCTTGGGAATGTTGAAAAGGTATGTGAATGTGGCACTTGGAGACATGGTTTAGAGAACATGGTGACAGCAGGTTAATGGTAGCTCACCTTCTGGAATTGATCTGGTATCTGGTGACTTGTGCACTACTGGTATGAGTGCCATAAACACTTAATTATCATTAACAGAGGAGAATGTTACAAATGGACTGTCGGCACAAGATAAACTTTGTAATTAAGGGAGAATTTTGAAAAACAATAGATTTTCTTGTGAGACTCTAGAAGTGAGGTGATTGGACCTTACAGAATTGCATGCCTATCTTGTTTTCACAAGTGTGACCAGGAAGTGTTCTCATGTAGTAGCTGTGTAAGTGTATGTGCGCATATGTATGGCAGGGGACAAGACTGCAATAATTCTCTGTCATTTCAGTACAAAGTACTTTGTGTTCTGATCAGGGACTGGCTGGGATGGAGTTGACTCCTCACAGCAGTCCCTGGAGTGCGTGCTCTGCAAGGTGGAGTTGATAATACATCAGAGTTTTGCAGTCTCTCCAAGTCTCCCCAAGACAGTAGGCTGGGGCTGGGCAAGAGGCTGACAGGGAATGTAGCTCGGACAGCTGACCCAAACTGACACAAAGGACATCCCATGTCGTATGACACTGCACTCAGCAATAAGAGCTAGAGGAAAAGAGAAAGGAGCCATCCATGGTGAAAGCATTTGCTTTCCAAAGCAGCCACTATGCATGCTGAGGCCTTGCTTCCCAGCAAGTGGTTGGAATAGAATCATAGAATCATTAAGGTTGTAAAACACCTCTAATATCATCAAGTCCAACCATTAACCCAGCACTGCCATGTTCACCCCTAAACTATGTCTCAAGTGCCACATCCACATATTTTTGAACACTTCCATGGATGGTGATTCCACCACTTCCCTGGACAGCCTGTTTCAATGTCTGACCATGCTTGCATGTTTCCTAATAACCAATTAAACCTTCTCTGATGCAACTTGAGGCTCTTTCCTCTCATCCTGTCTCTTGTTACGTGGGAGAATTGGTCCCCTACCTTGCTACACCCTCCTTTCAGATAGTTGTGGAGAGTGATAAGGTCTCCCTTAAGCTTCCTTTTCTCCCTCAGCCACTCTTCACTGGACTCAGTATTCTCCCTATTAATTCTGAACGGGAAAACTATGGACAACCAGACATTCTCCTCCACCAGACCAGTCTGGGGATGCTTAATTGTGCCCAGAGGTCTCTTTGAGCGATTAACTTTAGGATGTCTAAACATTGGAAAAGCAGACACCAGGGCCAAAAAAATAGAACTGCATGAATCAATGACCTGCATGAAGATACATTGGTAGGAATGTGCTTTACATTCAGACTGCTTGATTCATTTCTGTTACTGTCATTCTCCCTGCTGCCACCACAAAACAGGAAGGAGTGGCTGATACACCAGATGATCCTATTGCCAGCCAGAGGAATCATAGCAGCCCAGAGAAATGGGCCAACAAGAATTTGGTGAGGTTGAACAAGGAGAAGTACAAGGTCTTGCCCTTGGGAGAAACAAGCTGATGCTCCACTGTATGCTGAGGGCCACTCAGTTGGAGAGCAACTTGGCAAAAAGGACCTGGGGATCCTGATGGACCCTAAACGGAACATGACCCAACAATTTGTTCTTGCAGCAAAGATAGCAGATGGGATCCTGAGCTGCATTAGATTAAACACTGCCAGCAGGTAAAGGGAGGTGCTCCTTCAGTTCTCCTCAGCACTGGAGAGGCCATACCTGAAGTCTTGTCTTCAATTCTTTGCCACTMAGTAAAAGAGAGACATGGACATACTGGAGTAGAAGTCCCACAGAAGCCATAAAGATGAAGGGACTGCAGCATTTCTCCTAAAATGCTCTTCATCCCTACTTTTGATCAGCATCCAGTTGCAAACAACAAAGCAGTGTGATGGTCCACATTTAGCTATTACCTTTGGTGTTTCAAAATAAAATCAATCCACAGGGATTTATCTACACAAACCTCACTGCTAGTGTTGCTATTTCCTAGAGGTAGCAATGATGATTTGTCTTGACATTGCACAAAACAGATCATCTTGGTAATGCTGCCACAAAGTRTTTACTTGCAGTGTGACCAACAGGCAGTACCAATGCAGCTGAATTTAGTGCTGAAGAAAAAAACCAACAAAACAAAACTCTGCTTCCCTTTCTATGTTTTCAAGATTCCTATACATGTAAAAGGTTCCACATAGAAAGTTTTACCTTGCTGATGTGCTCTGGTGCTTGATCTGGCTGACTGCTGAACTCACCACCTATCTGGAGGTCACTGACGCAAGAAATCGAGTCTCTCAGCTCCGTGAGCTTCTGGCTGCCCAGCACAAGGACTGTTTGGTAGGGTTTGTGGTCTTTATGCTATAAAGAACACGGTGTACAAAATTCAGATAGATTACCACTTGTCAGCATTAGCACTGCTCTTCAGTTGATAGCTTAAGGTCATTACTGCTAGCATCTGGCACTGCACTTCTCYGTATTTTAAACAGGATCTTGTCACAGCCTCTCCTAAGACTGGCATTGATTAGTTTGATTCAGAAATTCAAAAGTTGCATTCTCCATTGGAAAGTGCAGGAAAGACAGAAAGTCTGAGCTCACTGATCCCAAATCCAGAAAGGATATTTTGTTATTCATGTACTTAGTTACAGATTTTCAGCTTTCTTTAAAATAAATTAACTACTGAGTAATTACTGTACAAGTTTTTTTTTCTGTAAACCACTGACACAATGGAAGCCAGATTCTGAAAGAGCCTTAAGAAACTACCAGAACTGAAAAGTGTACCACATGTCTTCAGAGCACTCACTAATTTTAACTGCTTGAGAGAGCAAGATATTATCTGAATAGGGCAGAACAGAGTACAACCCAGAGAATTTCATACCAACCTTCTGAAATATAACAGGATAAAAGATGTTCACAGTCAAAAGTAGTTCTCCTTCCTCAATTAGATCTGTTGGATTGTCTGGCCTCTTTCCAGTTGCATGTGACTCCTGGAAAAATACATACACACACACATACATACATACATACATATACATATACATATACATATGTATACATATGAGCAACTTCTATCTATCTATCTATCTATCTATCTATCTATCTATCTATCTATCTATCTATCTATCTATCTATCTATC